GTACTACTACAAATTAATGACAATTCACACCAATCTTATATATAACTTAATCGTCGTTCCCCAAGCTAGTTTTTAGAAAGACCGTGATGAACACTGTGATGTGTTGCTTGGATAAAAATTTGTTTCCAAATATCCCATTACTTTTAATCAATCATGTTGTATGTGCATTCTGAAAGTCAAAGCTAGAGAAAAGGAAGATCCTAGCCCAAGAAGTGATCCGACTGCCGATCCCCTCACGACAGTTTTTGCCCTTGATCTCTTATGGTCGATCCCTGGAAGACCTAACTGTCCATCTCTCTAAGTAGTGTGAGCACTCTCTAGCAAACAGGTAAAGCCACTACCAAATCTGTCTTGTTCCCTTGCCCAATCAATTTTGTCTTGCAGAGCCGGGAGTAGACATTCCATCCTCAAAGCCGAATTTCTGCATGACACCACGCGTCAATCACCTAACTGCTACGGCGGCAATTTGGTATAATTGTATTTTACATTTTCCTGTATAAACATGAACAATATAGTATCAAACACTACACACAAGAGCTGACATTGTAACAAAAAACTTCAACAATTACTTTTCGGAGAATTTACTCTCTTTGTTGATCACCCAACAGATTGACAAATTCATGTGTGTTTTTTATTTCCGTGTTTTCTTACTTCATTGTAGATTAGCCCACAGGCCCCACACCAAGCCCTCATATAAATTAGATACAAAACTCTATTAGTTCGATTATTAAGTATCACTCGTCAACAAATTTTTAACTCAAAATTTAACTCAGATTTAACTTATCTTCGTTCTTTCAGTATTATCAACTAATTAAATAACACCAATCATTCATATACATACACTACATCAATTTTATTTCACTATCCATTCACTCAAATAATTTTAATTACTAATTTCAATCACCTCCTTCCTATTTTTAATCAAATAAACTTTAACATTTTTTTAAATTTTACTTTAATACAAGATCAAAATTCTACTTAAACTTAACCTTACTCACTTTACCAGAACTATTTCCAATTAACCAAAAATTCTAATCAAAACTCAATTAAGTTTATATCGGACGAAAACTCCTAATAAATGAGCTTTTCGCTGGACTTCTAAAAATAAAATTATATTGGTTGCTCTTTCAGATGACACTAGTATGACTCTCGTGCAGTGCACGGATAAAAGATATTCATTAATATTTATAAATTAAAAAATCTTATTAAGTAATATTTATAAATTAAAAATATGGAATCAATATGTAATGCAATTACCCATAATAATTTATTGAAAATATTTTATAAAGTTTAAATTGTACAAAGTTACATAAAATTTATATTTAAAATTAATACACAACCCTTGTGGTGCACATAAATGATAATAAAATACATTATATTCATTTCAAAATAAGTATCATTTAAAAAATTTTATTCATAAATTCGATTTGACTATAATGTGATTTCATAAATAGTTATTTTGGTATAATGTTATCATATATTTAACAACTTATGTGAATAATAAGTATAAATATAAAATTTCTATTGTTTCATTACTTAAAATATTTTATTTTTGTATAAACTATTCAAATAAAAAAAAAAATAGTTGAATAATTTATTAAATATAAATAATTGACTATTTCAATTACGTCCAAAGTTAATATTAACCCGTAAGTTTTTTAATAATTTATTAAACTATAAATAATTGAATATTTTCTTTACGTCCAAATTAATATTGACCTGTAAGTTATTAATAATTATTTTTTTTTATTTTTAATTTTAAATAAAAATCTTTTTAATTTTTTTTTTCTAATATATAATATACCAAATTTAAACCATGCAATTAATAAAGATAATAGCTTCAAGTTTTTGTCAATATATTATATTTCAAATTTAAATCATGTAACTAATGAAGGTAATAGCCACAATATTTGACCAAAATAATTGTATATTGATTATATTTATCTTTTAAAACTTGTAAAACAATTGTATCTTGGTTATATTTATCTTTTAAAATTTATTGAAAAACAAACTATATGTAGTATTAGGATATAATGATAATATACCGCTTTAACATTTACTAAAAACTTTTTAAATAAATGTTGCTGATAAAAATAATTTATATATATTTTCTCACTTACTTTTTTAAGCATATTTGCATTTTAAAACAAATTTATTGGTACAATTATGATATAACCACGACTAGTACTGTCGGCTCGACCGGCAGTATCTGATATAACATGTCATACCCGACCGGTTTTTATGAGTATATATTGAAGAATACACCTATACATAGGCTAAGACACTTGATATGATAAGATGAGTCAAGCCCAACTTAGGCTATGTCCAATTTGGAGTATAAGATACACTCCCCCTATAAAAAAGGGGCTAAAGTACTCATTTCATCCATCCTCTACACACTCTCTCCTTACACACTCTCTCTCTCTCTCTCTCTCTCTCTATATATATATATATATATATATATATATATATATATGCTTCTCATATGAATCCAGTACTAACTTAAGCATCGGAGGCCCAAAGTCGGGCACCCCTCCCGGGGTCTCTGGCTTTGGGTTCTTGCAGGTACTGTGGCCGTCCGAATCGAGGGAGCCCGGGTGATATCTTTGTCCCATCAATTTATGTTTTAAGAAAATAAGATAAATTAAATGTTCCAAAAAATGGACAATTTTTTGGCATACAATTTTAAAAATTAAAATGCACAATACGATAAAAATAAATTTTAATTTTCATTCAAAAAAATCTTTTAAAGTAAGTTAAACTATTAAACAAAACGTCAATTTTCCACTTTCAAATTAAACATCAAAATAAAGTACCACTCAATTAGCAATTATCTCATTTACTTTTCCGCCCAAATTGAAATTTATCAACGCCCTTAATAAAGATTTCACATAATTTTTTTTATAGAAAAATATTTCAATCGTGTGACGTATCACAAAAAAAATGAGAAATCAAGTTCATGTTTTTCAATATTTAATTTATAAAATTAATTTAATATTAACCAAGGTTTTAAATAGCGGGCTAAAATGTTTATGGCACTGTAGCTATAGCGGAGATTTAGCGGGATTTAGCGGCTAAATTGCACATGAATACAAATAGCGGCACGCTGCCAAAAAAAGTTATTTCTCAAATAGCGGCAACTTTAGCGAGCTATTTATTTCCTTGATATTAACCCAACATTTTTTTTTTATAAAATTATTTTTAATATATATTTCTCGAATCATATTCGTAGTAAATTAATTTTGTTATATCATTTCGGCTTTGAATGAATGAGAGAGACTAATTCGACTTGCGAGTTAAAAAAATATGAAATTAAAAAATTTGTTTCATATGATTGGTCCTAAAAGTTGATAACGTCTTGCACGTGCTATTAATTTTAAATTTCATTCATTTTTTTTTTTTTGTAAAAGTAAGTCAAATTATTTAAGCAATAATCAGTTTTCTATTTTTTAATTAAACATTCAAATAATCTGACTTCTCTTCTAGACAAATTTGAAGAACTCATTAAATAAAAATTACAAAATTGGTCCCAAAAATTACAAAATTGATCCAATCTAACGTCTTCACGTGAGCCATGTCAGTTTTGACGGTTTTGATACATAACGGACAACGAAAAAATAAAAAGAATCATAATTGCTATTCTTGAGACCAAATGTAGAAAACAATGAAACTTATGAAACCAAATTTGCAATTTTCTTAAAAATACGTCCAAGAGCGGTTCAGTTTGGTCCACCTTCACTTACGCAGTTACGCAGATAAAATTTAATAAAATATTAATATTACTACTAAGTCCAAAGTCAATTCTTCTCCTCCTCCCCCCTCTCTCCCCAAGAGACGCAGACCTCTTCCGTCGACGGCCCTCCTCCGCTCTCCGCCGCCCCTCTCTCTTATCTATCACTCTATCACTGTCAAAGGTTTGAGGTACATATCTTTATCTGCTTATCTTATCGTCTTTGTCCTTCAATTGCAGGAGCTCTCCACAAACCAAGCCAAAATCTGTTTATTTCAGTTAATTTTACTCAGTCTTGTTTTTTAGCCTTACAGTTTTGGGGGTTTTAGTATTTCTTTTTCGATTTTTCGATTTTTTTTTTTTTAGTTGTGCGTTGTTTCTTCTCCGAAGAGACTGACTTTGTTTTTGAGCTAAATATAGAGTTGAATTATGTGATTTCCTGTTTCAATTATTTTATAACCTCCACTGATGCTGTAAATAGAAAGAAAATTTTCTGTTCTCTTATATTTCTATAAAAAATAGTGAAAGATAGAGAAAGAGAAACTTAAAAAAACTGTTAAATTATTCGGATAGGGAAGGAGAAAATCATATGTTATAATTCGAAATCCCAGTTTGGATTTAATATTAACGAGCAAAAGGTATGACTTTCCTCTTTTTGTGGTCTTATTTATTTATTTATTTTTTGTCTATAAAATTAAAAACTATGGTATAGTGTGTTTGGTCTACTTCCTGTATTTTTCTAGGTTTCTACTTTCTACCTATTTTGTGTGGCAATGCTTAGGATGAATGACATATTTTCTCATTTGGAAAATGGCGGGCTGATATTACACCTTTTGTGCATTACTTGGACACTTGACGGCCATAATAGATTAAGAAATTGCTTTTAGTTCATTCATAGTTCAATTTAGTGTGTACTTCTACTACCAGGTTGTACCCTCTTGCACCATGTTTTAGGAGGATGGGTTTCGATAACTAAAGCTGGTAACTACTTTATCTCCAGTTATGTTGATTTTGATGCTATGTTTGCTGTTGTTAGTTTAATGTGTTGTCAACTACTATGTTCTTTTTACATAAATCAATCTGCATTTTTTTATTATTTTTTTTTTCTCGGAGGTTTTAATGATGTTTGTAGACTATTGTGATACTCTCAGATGAACTGACAATGCCCTCTCGCTTGGTAAAGTAATATGATATTGGATTTAATATGAAGTTCAGTCCAATCCATCTACCAAAATCACCGGAAGGTTTATTGGGTGAACAAAAGAGGAGAATGAGCGGTAACCTTATTCAAGAAATTCCACCTGCTAATCAAGAGAATGTAACTAATGAGTCACAGCAGGAGAAAAGTCAACTTGATGTCGGCACAGATGAGAAACCCTGTCTGGCGACCCATGAAACAGAAACCAAGCCAGAACCTGATGCTGAAATTGATGCCTCTAGACCCCATGAAGAAGGAAGTAGAACTCTGTCTTGTGAGAAGGTGAACAGTGGTTCAGATACACAGATGCAAAAAACAAGTCCTGAAAAATATGGGGTGAATTGTTCGCCTGGACCTGAAAATGCTGTGGAGGTATGGCAGCCTAGGCGGAACACCGAAACTGGAGATTTTACTTCACTGTCTCACCAAATAATTGTTCCATACAAGGAAGAATCTATACCGTATCCGGGTGCTGCAAATCATGCATCAGTGAGCACAAAAGAAAAATTCACTCCTATGAAAACTGAGAACTTCTCGGCGAATTTGGCGAACACATCAAGTTCGAGCATTGGGGTGCCTGAAGCTCTATCTGATCGAGAAGCCTTCTCATTTTCTGCAAAATTTGAGAGAGTTGAGAAATTGCAGCCCAGGCGAAACCCAGAACCTGCGGTTCCGATCTCACAATATGATGAAGAAAGTCAAAGCACTCCCTCTAGAGTACTGGAAAAAGGATTGGATGATGGTTATAACTGGAGAAAATATGGCCAGAAGCTTGTGAAAGGAAATAGTTTCTTCCGAAGCTATTACAAATGCACTTACCCCAATTGCCAGGCCAAAAAACAAGTTGAAAGATCTCATGATGGGAGTAAAATAGACGTTAATTTTCTCGGAAGCCATCATCACCCCAAACCACAAAATAGCCTCCAAGTGACCTCCAGTGTTCAAGTACGGAAAACAGATGTGCCTGTCGATTCTGCATCCAAGAGTAAGTGTCACGTGACTTCATAAACTTCTGTTATTTTCTTTTTATGTTTAATGACTCTTTAAGGTGGCCTTTAGGTGATGCTGAGCCAATCATTGACCATAGTGGTGCACGACAACTTGTGACACTGACTGAAACATTATGTCAGTCGCCTGTTGCAAGTTCTGATGGTGTGATGGGACCTGTTTCTTGCCCCAGAAATGATATCAATGATAAAGATGCTAAACGACTGTATTGCTTCTAGAAGTATCTTGTATCTTCTATTCTGTGTTATATGCAGATTTAAATATTTTATTAATTGGTTAATTCCTTTTCAACAGGAAAAGAGAGTTTACTGCTGCTGGTGACAATGTGGTGAATACACCGCCAACTGGGGATTTACGTCATGTTGTTCAAACTGTGAGCGAGGTTGACTTAGTTAATGATGGGCACCGCTGGCGTAAGTATGGGCAGAAATTGGTTAAAGGCAACCCTAATCCACGGTAATAAAGTTTTATATATCTGCAGCTCCAATATTTCAATTCTTTGCTGATAATTTAAGGCAAACCTAACTGTTTAGCAGCTTCACTAATAGAAGCTCGTGAGGGTTCATGGGAATGTTAACATAAAAAGCTCTTACGCAAAACTTGGTATTAGTTTTAATAGAGCATGCCATAGATTTTTGGACATCGTGTTGGAGGCTTTATCAATAACTTGTCCTTGACCTTTGAAGAAGGCTGTCCCAGCAATGACGGGGATTGCAATGTCATGCTTTATCAATAATATCTTCCGTCCCTTGCCTTTTAGAAATTATTTTCTTGAATGGAAAATATGACAACAAATGAAGCCCTTGGGCTTAGGTTAAACGAAAACAATGTGCTGGACCAAAATTTTCAGGTTTAACTGATTGTATCCACTTGCTTAGCTGCTTATACTCTATTTTTGTTTAGAAAATAAATGCCCTTGTTTTGGCGATACTGACTTCAGCTCTCTATGTTGTGCAGGAGTTATTACAGGTGTTCGTATTCTGGTTGCCCAGTTAAGAAACACGTCGAACGAGCTTCCTATGATCCCAAAATAGTTATCACAACTTACGAAGGAGAACACCAGCATGGTATGTCTACTATCATAAGCCAAACTACAACTGCAGTTGGTACCCAAAATCCTATGACCACGACAAATGGTGTGTCGAGAACAAAAGCTGAGGAGAAGGACCCAGTTGGCCTTGAAATGGTTGTTCATGTTAATTCAAACTAAGCAAGAGGATTCCTTTCGAGTTACATGCTTCCGTGTCTCCTAAGCTGAATTACTATCAGCAAATTCTTGGGATTTCTGAAAGGGATTCTGTTAATGGGAACACTACTTTTTCTTTAACTTGATGATTGAATTTGGGGTGAGTGTAACTTGGTTGTATAAAATTACTGTAGCCAGAGATGGAATGAAAGGATGTATACTGCATAGATGTGTATTTACTTTGCTATTTGTAGCGCTGGCTTTATTATATATATATATTCTGTCAGTCTTATTTTATTTTGTAATGCATGATGGGTTCAAAGTTTGATATTTATTTGAGTTAACTACACACATATCTCCATTTTTTAGCCTGATTCTGGTTTATATATAAGGAATAATTGCCTTTTCGCCCACAAACTATTGTGGATTAGCCAAATTGAAAAAAAAAATAAAAAAAAAATCCCGTTGATCTTTCAAAATTATGAATCAGCCCTTTGATTCTGGTTTATCTTCTATAGAGGCAACATCACGAACAGCTGCAAGTCTTGTATCTATCTTACAGTAGAGTAGAAATACTGCAAAATCCCCATTCAATACAATTTGTAATCTAATACAAACCAAAAGAGAGGACTCACAAAACCTAAAAATGGCCTCCATTGGATTAGTCTGAGGCTCTGAGCATTTTTGTGGTACATACATATTTTCGCTTTCCCTTGTATTTAAGGGATTTAATCTAGATACTGATGTAAGTTTGTGCTGCCATTTATAGACACAAGAAACCATAACACAATAGAACTAAAAGCTTAGAATACAGAACATTCACATTTGCCTCTCTTTCTTAGAGTGATCGCCATGCTTTTGCAACAGTTTTCTGGTGGCTGCATGTAACACTATGTTTATCTTTATTGTTAACATTAAAGGGAAAGTTTGAAATTAGTGTTCGGCATTAGACACTTTTTACTTTTCTGCTCGATAGCTACACAAGAGGTGACACAGCTCGAGCAACATCAACAGAAAATGGGCTCTCGGGCAGATCAAGTTCTTAACAGCTGCAAAATGTCATGAAGACAATTGAATACATGAATAAAAGAGAGAAAAAAAAAGGTGAGCGAAAATTAGCGTCTGACATCTAGATACCTGTCCAGCTTGTCGTTGCGAGTTATGATGTGATAAAATCTGTCTTCACTAGTGGAACCATCGCTCGAAACACCTTCTCGAATATATATATCAAAAGATCAATCTCCCCTTATTGCAGTGCATTTAGCACAATATATTTTGCCAAAAAAATGTAGATTCAACAAAATAGAAATCGTTCTCAAACAGAAAGTTAGCAACCTTCTGAAAGGCTTGAACAATTAGACTTCTTGCCTACCAACATATGCATATGCTTCTTCTCAAGCTTGGCTGAATGTTGATACTGTTCAGTCATTATCTGTTTCTTGTGAGACTTTGTATTCTTGCACTCTTTTGGTTCTACATAGTGAACAATATAAGTATCAAATCAAGACTGGAGAAACTGGAATAGGGAGTACGTGATAAAAAGAAACTGAAAACACGAAAACGGTTTGGGCCTTGCTTGAAGGATCGGATTCCGCTTTATCTGGTGACTGTGGATCTTGTTTAACTGGATTATGGACTTTCTCAGACTTCCTGCAAACAAAATAATGTAGAACACCATTTTTAGTACTAATGTATGTTATTGTAGGCATGAGAATGCAGCCACCAACATTGTGTGCGTAACATGTTTGAATTTTAAATGAGTAAGCATGTATAAGTAAGTACCTATTGAGAAGCAACGACTTTATCCTGTAAGGTTTCACCAGCACTTTTGCACCACAAATAAAATGAGGGTTTGTTTTCGACAGGACTAAGGTTACCGTCTCTGGGTAAACAAAAGTCACAAACCCGAACATCCTCTTTTCTTGGTTGGGAAGCCTAACTTCCTGAACTGGTCCAAAATTGCTGAAAATAATAATAATCAATAATCATAATAATAAATCCCCTTGAGTTGTTACACAAACTAGCTAGACTGCTAGAGTCTAGTCATATACTATTGCAACAAAAGAAAGTTTGCTTTACTTGAAATAGTTGTAAACATCTTCCTCATTGAACATGCTGTGTGGAGGAAAAGTCAGATAAACTTGGCAAGAGACCGACTCGTTTTCTTTCTTCTCTTCCATCCATCTCGCATACAACAGGATGTCCTCCACCATTATAATCGACTGCCTCCCATGTGGTCTGTAACCAACAATGAAAAGGAAAAAGTACACATATACATATATATAGATCATTCACAATTAATTCTTTAAAATAACAAAAGCTGGCAAAATCCCACCTGTCATCCACATGAATGTCCTTTGTCATCTGAGCAACGAGCTGCGCAAGGGTAAACCTGATCTTTCTTTGCCAGGGGCCCTCAACGAGATAGCCCTCAACACGAAGGGCCCGTCCATACTTATCATAGTAAAATATCGGCAGCGAGGAGATGGAAACCGGAACCCCTTTCCGGGCCTTGAGAAGCTCAATCAGCTCAATCTCCAGCTGCTTGAGAGATGCAGTTGACCACAGGACATGATCCTCTCCCATCCCAGGCTGATTCAGGACCATGAAACGACCGTTTTCCATTCGGAAGACATGCAGAAACCAGCAGTTGCCGCCGTACTTGCAGTACCCCTGACTGAAGCTCTGGCAGATGAGGGCCGGCGGGCAACAATCATGAAAATACGGGCCAATTTCCAAGCCGAAAGATGGCTGATTGTGAACCACATAACCATCAATGTCCAAGCTGAAAGAAGGCTGAGGGGTAGGGACTATCCATGGAATTTTATTGGGTGGGACAGGTGCAGCGCACCACGGCACGTGTGGTGTGAACTTTGTGTGGGCAGCTGGTTTGGTTGGTGAGGAGTCGAGCTCCCTTTTGGCGGTGTTGATGAGGGAGTGAATTAAGTTGTCCGGGCCAAAGGCTAAACGGATCATCTCGAGCTCTCCCTGGTCTTTGAGGAGGAGATAGCCGATGATCTTGGATACATTCTCAGGATCGAGCTTCTCGATTCTTTTGAAAACCACCTTTGTCGACTCCGAATACTCCATCTTAATTAATCCGGATATACATGGCCAAACACTGGTGTTAGAAATCTAAATGATATATATGCTCCTGGCTTTTGATTCAATTGCATTGATCTAAGAATTTAAGTTAATCACTATGTAAAAAGGCATGAATAAGCATAAAACCAGAAATTAGTGCGAGATCATAAAAGAAAAGAAATTAGATTGCAGTCCTGGAAACATTAGCAAGTAGTAATTAGTAGGTCCGCAGAAACTGCCTTTGTTTCACTATTTGAGCAAAATTTTGGAGAAAGCGGTCAAATTTAACTCATTTATTTGGAATCACCAATCTCAAATTCAATCCAAGCATTCTCTTTAAGACAAGTAAATTCACCTTCTTTCAGTTATTGAACATCTATGAGAGTTAATAAAAGCCACTGAGGAGTTGATCTACCAGTTAGCCAGTTTTTAACAGCTGCTTGAAATTATATAACTAATTGAAGGTATCATTAATCATGCCAATTTCGAAGCAATAGCACAAAATTCAACACCATGCAATAGCTTTCTTTTATTGAAAATGGAGCAACATAAAAACGAATGCATTTGTGCGTTGGCAAAATTCTCAAAGAGAGAGGGAAAAGGGATACGCGATGGATGATCTAGCACAAAAGTTTCATCTGCTTCTGCATGCAACATTTACCGGTGAAAGATACACCCTTTCATTCAAAAAAAATGGATTCTTGTTTTAAAACACTGTTCAAGAAATGAGCTCATTTATATATCCATTTCTGCACATGCACGAGCACAAACATGTTCAGCAAGCTGCAACTAGCAGATATATTTGTGTTTTACATAGGGAAAAAAAATAAAATAAAATAAAAACAGAGAACGTCAAACAAGAGTGATAATTTAGAAGAAAAGAAATACAACGGAACAAAAGTAATGAATTTGCATTAATATGAAAAACCGTGAAATTAATACCCACCAAATCTTGCTGCAGCTGATGAACACTAGAGTTTCAGTGTGGTGTAGGTGTACAACATATAAAAGTAGTCTCTCTTTTGTTGAGAGTACATTGTGAGTTACTTCTGGTGGGTATAAAAGTGGGCTCACTCCTCAAAAAAACGACACCATTGCTCACGAAAATGGGAAGGAAAAGGACACTGAAAATGCTTTGCATTTTTTTACTTTGTTCGGATTTCAGTTGTTCTTCTATGCCTACACATGCATACAATGCACCGGCCTGACCATCTCTCCCTCTCCACCTGACTTCCTTTTTTTCGCAGAAAATAATCTTTACTAAAATTTGTATGTGATTTTCATTTCAACTTTTATAATGAGCGATCCCACAAACAGAGTTATCGAATATAAACTTATGATCGTATGTTCTGCAAGATTTAAAAAGTTGTGTGAACAATTTTGCAATGTCATACGTTTAATACTGTATTCCAAATGTATTAAATGTAAACTTGTAACAGATCCAAACATGTATACAATGTTCAAGTGATTCAGATTATTAACACTGTAAACACAGCAGCAGGCATCCATCCATATATAAGACAGAAGAATCATTCATCTCCCACATACCATAATATAATCAAAGTGGTTCACAACATTTGTTTCTATTCATTCATGATATGTCTCTATTCCATGAATATTGCGATACTAAAGTCGCAAGTCTTGACAAAGATGAGCTCCACCTCTCCATATAATCCTGTCTTTAGCGTGCACGCTCATATACATGTGGGTCCCAACAAACGTAAGCAGTTGGTGTAATAAGACACAGATGAGATGCCTTTTTAGCTAGCATGCCCATCATCACCCACATTAAAACTCAGCCAACTACCTTCATGAGCTTTGCATGCACTTCCTGTTCGTTCCTCCTCACCCATCATTTGTCTCCATCTCCTTCTGTTTTTTCTTTTAAATTGTTTGGCATTTGTCATGAATTTCTACTCATTCACACACACACACACACACACCCATGCATTTATGTATGTCTTCATTGTTGTTTCAGCATAAATTAATATCTACACATACACAAAAATCAATCTTTAATAGTATATACTCAAGGCAGTACTTCTGCTAGATGATGACATTATGATTTATGCAACAAAACATTAAGTTTGGTTATGAGGTGTGATATGCATGGTCCAAGATACGAACTCCGGTCTTTCGAAGGACTCTTCCCGGTTATGACGTTGATTCACTTGGTTCGGTTCGGCCCAAACTTGAGTGTTCGCCGGTACCTGAAAGAGCGCCGGAATTACTCTGGCGCAAGAAGTATCCCGGATTTTTAGAGAGAATCTCCGTAATAAATGTAACAGTGTGATATTAAATGAAGTAAATTGAAGTCGAGATTATATTGCAATTACCCAAGTTTTGGATAAAATTGTCAAACGCAAAAAGGTTAAGGGCTTGATTGTATACCAAATAATTTACACACTTTTATTTCAACTCAAAATCTAACTCAACTTTAACTCAACCCCACTATCTTTAATATTATTCATATAATTAAATAATACAAACCAATCATTCTTATACATCACATCAACTTTAATTCACTTTTCATCCACTCACATAATTTTAACTACCTATCATTTCAATCATTTATTTCTTACTTTTACATCAAATCAATTTTAATCATTTTATTTTAAATATTATTTTAATATATTCTTAAAATTCCACTAACAACTAACCATACCACATTTTTCAAAATTAACTACAGTTAACCAAAATAATTCATTTTGAACAAATTATTTCATAAACAATCAAGCCCTAAGGTTTATTTAGAAATTAACTCTCAATTAAAATTATGTGAGTGAATGAATAGTAAATTAAATTTGATGTGATGTGTAAAAATGATTGGTTGGTATTATTTAATTAATTTGTATTAATATTATTGAGGATAGTGGAGGTGAGGTTGAAGTTGAGTTAGATTTTGAGTATGAATTGAGTGCGGATTGAGTATCAAATAATATGGTTGGTTATTATTAAAAATAGTAGCTGTTCGTGCCAAAAAAGTGCTATTTACTATAATTAGAAATAAATTATCAATATATGTTATAATGTGAGTAAATTTAATTTTGGTATTTGATGATTGTTTATATGGGAACTAAATTAAATTAATTAATATATGGTATAAAGTAGACGAATTTATATTTGATATTTGATGGATGTTTTTTATGAGAAATAATTTAATCAATATATGGTATAACATGACCGAATTTATTTTTTGTATTGATGACTGTTTCTATGGGAAATAAATTAATCAATATACAATATGAAGTGGACAACTTGTGGGTTATTTCAGGATTGTTTTTTGGTAGGGAATTTGCCGGGAAATTAATCACTATATGATATAATTTTTTATATGAGGCGCAAGCCAATATATTGGTTTTTAGATGTGTGTTTCAAATTTTCGTATGAAATTAAAACAATGAAATTACTGTAACTCCGACAAAATAATATGAACGAATATTTTAATTTAATGTGCTTCTATCGATTTTTTTTTTTTTTTGAAATGCTCTGGTGAATTTTTATTTGTATAGTTAATGGGTCTCGATTTATTTTATTTTTTGTTAAGACATTGCAAATAATTTTTTGTGAAATGCAATTTTCATTTTTCTAGCATGATAAAGAGTGTCTTAATTTTTTGGTATAAAAAATATGAACAAATAAATGGCAAATTATTTTAGAATAAATGTGTGCCTCCATTTTTTTATTTTTTAATTTTCTTTTGATAAGCTTTGGATTAAATATTTTTGGTATGATAAATCTGAAGATAATATGACCGATATGTTTTTGTATAAATGATTGAAATGAAAGTCAAAATTCAATGAGATCTTATAAAAATGGCATCGCATAACGCATTAATTATTTTTTAACAAAAAAAAGCTTTCACAACTTTCTTTCACAGTGATCAAATTGATGAAACAACCAAAAAATATGCGAGATTTATATAAAAATAAATCTATATTGTCGATTTGATTCAATATACCAATATAATCAAATTATTAATTGATTAGCAGATAACCAAAATATTTGCCAAACAATCTCAAAATCAAATATTACATAACAACATTGCAAATTACCAACTTATTAATTTGCAATATAAAAATAAACAAATACGGGAAAAATATAATAAGATCGGATACACCAAAAAATGTGTGAATTATTGAGTAAATCTTTGTCATTACAAAATAGAATAAGTGTTATTTACACACATTTAAAAATTCACATGAATCAAAAGCAATTTATTGCCTCTGTTATTATTTTCATATCACATAATGGAATTTAACTAAAGTATACTTTGTTTATCTTCTTCTCGTATAAATTTAGTGTAGATCGATGTTGTCCAATCATCCTACTTTCGATTTAATTTTCAATTAAACAGATATACGATTTATATGTATTTAATTCAATTCAACATGAAGTGCGGATTTCGTCTGATCATGGATGTCACTAGAACTAAAAAAAAACTACCCATGAAGATGCGTACAAATTCAAATAATTGAACACTAATTTGAAACTGAAAACAAGAATTAATTGGAAATTCTATTTCACGATGAGGATTTCTGACAGATCCTCCTGATTATTTCAAAGGGGAATCATCAGGATATTGTGAATGCTACAATTAATTCTTCCAACATATGAGCTTACAAAAAATATGCATCTTAGCATAGGTGATTCAAATAAAAATAAGGAGCTGACTGCTTTTGCTAATTGAATAGCAAGCATAGAGATGGAACCCATGGGAGATCCAACGATGGATGTAGTTTGATAGACATACTTGATGATATATTGTTGGAACCCACTAATGATCCTATTGTTGCAATTCTTGAGAGAACATATTTAAGGATGCAACTGATGACCCCAGTTATTTGAAGGATAAGGCTATAATAGCCCCAATGTTGGAGGTGGTTGAGTTTATTAATGAGTAAATGATGTATTTGAATGTGATTGATGGTCAAACATACATACAAATTTGATTTCAATAATGATTTTTATTCGATCTCCACACCCTGAGATTTCTAAGCACTGTA